CTAGGATTGACATTTTTTCTCTTTTATCCATCTTCCTACCACACAAAACTTTTACTCTGAACCCTTTCTTACCTTCTATACTTGGTCCTTTCTTGTACTGACCTCTTAACTCCCCTCCTTCACCTACTAGGACATTTTGCTTTCAGGGATAACCCACTAACAACAGAACAAATGTAAATTCCTCTATAATTTTGATTCAAACTAGCTTTCTATCCTCTTTTTCATCCTGCTGCTCCATGCAAACCCTTCATACTGGCAAAAATACCCCCTTCCTGCACTTCACATATTTCTCCTTCCAATGGTTTTTTCCCACAAGAGACCCTCCCCCTAGGCTCAGGCATGTCTTTTTACCTTTCAAAGCCCAGCTATGATGTCCTCCATGAGGCTTGCCATCACTGTCATAGTGACCCCTGTTATAGCAATCTTTAGTATTACCCCTCCTGGGACCTACAGTCATCTTTTTACAATTGCTTGTGCCTGATAAGATCACCCTCCCTCACCACCCCCACTCCCTAAATGCACACAGATGAGCCTCACTTCCCCTCTGACCAACTAGCCTTTAAGTTCTTGGAAGGCAGGATTGATGTCATCTTTGTTTTCTCCAAGGCTCTTAAGCACAGTTCATTCTTTATATCCAATACTTGTTCAGGGGAGCCAGCCAGGAAGGGCTAAACACCTCTCTGGACAAGGGGAACCAGAGTGTGTGTGGTGGTCAAGGCCCTCAAGGGGGCAGTAGAGAACTAGTTGTTTAATATCCTCCACCAGAAGTATTGATTTGGGGTTCTTAAAAGTTTTGTCAACTGGTGTGTGTGTGTGGGGGGGGGGGGGGGAAGGAGGGGGGCTGCGGGCGCGGGAAGTAGAGTGTGGGGTAAGTTAAATCCAGGAAGTGTGAAGGAAACAAACAGGAGTTATTTCGAATTCATTCTAAATAGGATCAAAATGAATACAGCCAACCACGTGATGATCATAAAATGGGGACAAAACCAGGAAGACTGTAAAAAGAAAGGCATGAAGGTTCCAAAACACACATAAAAGCTAGAATTCAGGTTGGTCAAGAGACAAGGTCTAGGCCAGATTCAGGTTTTGACAAGAAAGAGAAGTAAGCTCAAAGTATGGGAAATTTGACTCTGAGAAGATGGCAGGAAATCATACATGGTCAGGGTCTCAACTGGGCTGTACTTCTTTGCAGCTGCCTGAGCTGTAAGAAGATGGAGAAGCTTAGTATCTGGTCTCCTTGGAGCTTTAGTCATCTTGTTCTTATCTTGTGGTAAATCCAACATCTACCTCTATCCCATTTGTTTGTTTTTATTGTTTAAAGTATTACATAAGTCTCCTTTTTCACCCACTGATCTCTCCCCAGCCGCCCCCATCCCCCAGCACGTGCTCCCCACCCCATCTGTGTCCATTGGTTTTGCGCATATATAATCCTTTGGTTGATCTCTTACCCCTTTGCCCTTCCTCTTTCCTCACAGGTTGGAAAGTATGTTTGATGTTTTTATTACTCTGGTTTTATTTTGGTTCCTCAGTTTGTTCATTATATTCCAGAAATGAGTGAGATCATGTGATATTTATATTTCTCTGACTGGCTTATTTCTTTTAGCATAATGCTTTCTAGTTCCATCCATGCTGTTGCAAATGGTAAGAATTCCTTATTTTTTTACAGCAGCATAATATTCCACTGGGTAGATGTACCACAGTTTTCTAATCCACTCATCTGTTGATGGGCACTTAGGATGTTTCCAAGACTTAGCTATCATACATTGTGCTGCTATGACCATAGGAGTGCATATGTCCTTTCTGATTGTTGTTTCTGATTTCTTGGGATATATTCCTACCAGTGGAACTACTGGGTCAAATGGGAGTTCCATTTTTAATTTTTTGAGGAAACCCCATACTGTTCTCCACAGTGGCTGCACCCCACCAGCATTCCCACCAGCCGTGCACGAAGTTTCTTTTTTCTCCGCACCTCACCACCACTTCTTATTTACTTATTTGTTGATGGCAGCCATTCTGACAGCCAACTGTGGTACAGTGTTGGATTTTGTCAAATGCCCTTCTGTATGTCTTTAGAAAAGTGTCTATTTAGGTTCTTTACTCATTTTTATTGGATTATCTTCATTTTGTTAAGTTGTATGAGTTCCTTATAAATTTTGGAGATTAAACCTTTATTGAATATAACATTGGCAAATATGGTCTCCAATGCAGTGGGCTTTCTTTTTTTTAAGTGTAAAAATATTTATTTATTTATTTTTTTTTCCATATTTTATTGATTTTTTTTTGCCCTCCTCCCTCCCTCACACATATCCCCTCCCTCCCCAGAGTTTTATGTCCATTGGTTGTACTTATATGCATGTATACAAGTCCTTGGGTTGACTTATTATCTCCCCCAGACCCTCCTCCCCTCCCCGCTGTAATTTGACAATCTGCTTGTTGCTTTACTGTCTCTATATCTATCTTTTGGTTCATCAGTTTATAATGATCTTTATTAACCACAAATGAGTGGGGTCATGTGGTGTTTCTCTTTCATTGACTGGCTTATTTCACTCAGCATGATGTTCTCCAATTCCATCCAGGTTGCTGCAAATGATGAGAATTCCTTCTTTTTTATGGCAGCATAGTATTCCATTGTGTAGATGTACCATTGTTTTTGGATCCAATCATCAGCTGATGGGCACCTAGGCTGTTTCCATATTCTAGCTATTGTAGATTGTGCTGCTATGAACATAGCGGTACATATATCCTTTCTGATTGGTGTTTCTAGTTTCTTGGGATATATTTCTAGAAGTGGGATTACTGGGTCAAATGGGAGTTCCATTCTCAGTTTTTTGAGGAAACTCCACACTGTTCTCCACAGTGGTTGCACCAGTCTGCATTCCCACCAGCAGTGCACGAGGGTTGCTTTTTCTCCGCAACCTCGCCAACACTTGTCGTTTGTTTATTTGTTGATGTTGGCCATTCTGACAGGTGTGAGATGGTACCGCATTGTTGTTTTGATTTGCATCTCTCGGATAATTAGTGACTTTGAGCATGTTTTCATGTGCCTTTTGGCCTTCCTTCTGTCTTCTTTTGTAAATATTCTATTTAGGTCCATTGCCCATTTTTTAATTGGATCATTCATCTTCCTTTTATTTAGTTGTATCAGCTGTCTGTAGATGTTGGAGATTAAACCTTTATCAGTGGTGTTATTTGCAAATATGTTCTCCCACACCGTGGGCTTTCTTGTTGTTTTGTTGATGGTTTCTTTTGCTGTGAAAAAACTTTTTATTTTGATGTAGTCCCATTTGTTTATTTTCTCTTTAGCTTCCATTGCCCTAGGGGCAATATCAGTGAAGAAGTTCTTTTGGCATATGTCTGAGATTTTGCTGCCTGTGGATGCTTCTAGTATTTTTATGGTTTCCCGTCTGATGTTTAAGTCCTGTATCCATTTTGAGTTTATTTTTGTGTATGGTATAAGTTGGTGATCTAGTTTCAATCTTTTGCATGTGTCTGCCCAATTTTCCCAACTCCATTTATTGAAGAAACTGTCTTGACTCCATTGTATATTCGTGCCTCCTTTGTCAAATATTAATTGAGCATAGTGATTTGGGTTGATATCTGGGTTCTCGATTCGATTCCATTGATCTATATGTCTGTTTTTGTGCCAGTACCAGGCTGTTTTGAGAACAGTGGCTTTGTAATACAGTTTGAAGTCTGGTATTGAGATCCCTCCTACTTTACCCTTCTTTCTTAGGATTGCTGTGGCTATTCGGGGTCTTTTATTGTTCCAAATGAACTTTTGGAGAGTTCTTTCTATGTCGGTGAAATATGCCGTTGGTATTTTTATGGGGAGTGCATTGAACCTATAGATTGCTTTAGGAAGTCTGGACATTTTGATGATGTTGATTCTACCAATCCATGAACATGGTATGTTCTTCCATCTCCTTACATCTTCCTCTATCTCTTTTTTCAGTGTCGTGTAGTTTTCTGCATATAGGTCCTTTACTTCCTTAGTTAAATTTATTCCTAGGTATCTCAATTTTTTGGTGTGATGGTAAATGGAATTGATTTTTTAGTCTCTGTTTCTATAGTTTCACTGTTGGTGTATAGAAATGCCACGGATTTCTTGGCATTAATTTTGTATCTGCAGTGGGCTTTCTTGTTGTTTTGTCGATTGTTTCTTTGGCTCTGCAGAGGCTTTTTATTTTGAAGTAGTCCCATTTGTTTATTTTTCCCTTAGTTTTCATTGTCCTAGGAGCTGTATTGGCAAAGATATTGCTATGACAAATGTCTGCTATTTTGCTATCTATGGCTTCTTCTAGGATTTTTATGGTTTCTCGTCTTATAAATCTTTTATCCATTTTGAGTTTATTTTTGTATATGATGTAAGTTGGTGGTCTAGATTCATTTTTTTGGAAGTATCTGTGCAATTTTCCCAACACCATTTATTGAAAAGACTGTCATGACTCCATTGTGTGTTCTTGCCTTCTTTGTCAAATATTAATTGAACATAAAAAATGGCTTAGGTCGATTTCTGGATTCTCTGTTCTGTTCCATTGGTCTATATGTCTGTTCTTGTGCCAGTACCAGGCAGTTTTGAGAACAGTGGCTTTGTAGTATAGCTTGATATCTAATATTGTGATCCCTCCAACATTGTTCTTCTGTGTCAGGATTGCTGTTGCTCTTCAGGGTCTTTTTTTATTCCAGATGAGTTTTTGGAGAGTTTGTTCTGGGTCTTTGAAGTATGCCATTGGTATTTTAATGGGGATTGCATTGAATCTGTAGATTGCTTTCGGTAATACGAACATTTTAATGATGCTGACTCTACCAATCCATGAACACGGTATAGTCTTCCATTTGTTTATGTCTTCCTCTAACCCCTTTTTCAGCATCCTTTAATTTTCTGAGTAGAGGTCCTTTACCTCCTTCATTAAATTTATTCCTAGGTATCTTAATTTTTTTGATGCAATGGTAAATAGGATTGTTTTTTTTTTTTAGTTTCTCTTACTGTAAGTTCATTATTGATGTATAAAAAAGCCATAGATTTCTGGGTGTTAATTTTGTATCCTGCTACATTGCTGAATTCATTTATTAGATCTAATAGTTTTTTGATGGAATCTTTGGGGTTTTCTATGTACAATATCCTGTCTTCTGCAAATAATGATCATTTTACTTCTTCTTTTCCAACTTGGATGCCTTTTATTTCTTCCTCTTATCTTATCACTATGGTTAGCACTTCCAATACTACATCAGGAGTGGTGAAAATGGTGATCCCTGTCTTGTTCCTGTTCTTAGGGGAAATTATTTTAGTTTTTTCCCATTGAGTATGATGTTGGCTGTAGGTTTGTCATATAAGGCTTTATTATGTTGAGGTATGAGCCCTCTATTCCCATTTTGCTGAGAGTTTTTATCAGAAAAAGGTGTTGGATTTTGTCAAATGCCCTTTCTGCATCAATTGATATGATAATGTGATTTTTGTCTCTAAATTTGTTTATGTGATATATCACATTTATTGATTTGTGGTTATTGTACCAGCCTTGCATCCCTGGAATCCCACTTGGTCATTGTGTATGATTTTTCAAATGTAATGCTGGATCCAATTTGGTAGAGTTTTGTTGAGGATTTTAACATCTATGTTACTCAGAAATATTGACCTGTAATTCTCTTTCTTTGTAGTGTCTTTATCTGGTTTGGGGATTAGGGTAATGATGGCTTCATAAAAAGAGATTGGAAGTGAGCCTTCCTCTTGAATTTTTTGGAATAGTCTTAAGAGGATAGGATTTAGTTCTTCTTTGAATGTTTGTTAAAATTCTCCTGTGAAGCAAGCCATCTAGCCCTGGGCTTTTGTTTGCTGGAAGCTTTTTGATGACTACTTCAATTTCTTCCTTAGTTATCAGCCTGTTGAAATTTTATGATTCTTCTTGATTGAGTTTTGAAAGGTCATATTTTTTTAGAAATATGTCCATTTCCTCTAGGTTGTTTAGTTGTTGGAATAGAGTTGTTCTCAGTGTTTTTTTGTTGTTGTTGTTTTGTTGTGGTTTTCGTTTTTGTTTTTTACAATCTTTTGTATTTCCGTGGGATCTGTTGTTATTTCACCTCTTTCATTTCTGATTTTATTTGGGTCCCCTCGCTTTGCTTCTTGGTGAGCCTGGCTAAAGGTTCATCAATATTGTTTATCATTTCAAAGAACTAGCTCTTGGTTTCATTGATCTCTTATATTGGTTTTATTGGTCTCTATGTCATTTATTTCTGCTCTGATCTTTATTATTGCCTTCCTTCTGCTCACTTTGAGCTTTTCCTGTTGTTCTCTTTCTAATTATTTAAGTTTTATAGTTGGATAATTTATTACCATTTTTTTTTTGTTTGTTTTGTTTTTTTGAGGTTGGTCTGTAATGCTATGAACTTCCCTTTTGGTCAAGAATATGTCTGTATGTTTTCATAAAACAACTCCAAGACCATTCATGCAACAGAGAGGAATTGACGGCTCCAGCCATGAAGACAGAAGAGAAATAGTTCAGAGATGGAAGACGCTGATGATGCCTTGCCATACTAGCAGTCAGCAGCTGTGCATCGTTGCAGGTTGCCCAGGACCAAACCAGAGAGGGTCAGACATACATCACCACCATTTATCCACCATCCAGAACTGAAGTATCATTGCTGACATGTACATATAAGGAACTGTTTGACATTGAAATTAGGATGCAAAAGAACTGTTGGCCTAGAAAGAAACTCACTACAGACTGATTTATTTGCCTCTCAGCATAACCATTATTGCTTGTCTCATTTTCAGTTCTTATATTTCTAGTATCACATGATCTCACTCATCAGGGGAAATAATGAACAATATAAACTGGTGAACAAAGATAGGCCTGGAGATAGGGAAGCATCAATCAGACTGTCAAACCTTAGAGGGAAGTAGGAGAGGGGGGGGTTAAAGGGGAAAGACTTGTATGCATGCATATAAGCCTAACAGGCAACAGGGGGTGGGGGCATGCGTGGGGAGGGGTTTGGGATGGGAATGGGGGGATAAGGACAAATATGTGATACCTTAATTAATAAAGAAAAATTTTAAAAAAAGGACGTCGCTCTTTGGACTGCTTTCACTATGTCCCATAGGTTTTGGATTATTGTGTTTTGCCATTTATTTCTTGGATTTTAAAAATTTCTCCTTTGATATTTTTGGTAACGCAATCATTGTTTAATAGCATGCTATTCAGCCTCCAAGTGTTTGAATTTTTAAAATTGTTTTTATCGCAGTTGATTTCTAATGTCATGCCATTGTGGTCTGAGTATAATAGATCCTCCATTTTTTTTTTAATTATTCAATTTAAGCATAGACCAGAGAAGTGATCTTTCCAGTGGAACTTGATTTAAACTTACTTAGCACTTGAGTCCTGTCTCACTGAACAGCCATGCAGCTTTGATGGCAGATGTCCTCTTTCCCTTGAATCTTCCTTTTCCTAATAATTTCCTTCCATAGACTTGAGGCAGTTTCCCCATGCCTTTCTAGTTTGAGGAATATCAGCAAGGTTTCTACTCTCTGAGGAAAGCTTCTGACTGACTCTTAGTTTGTGTAAGGAACAAAGTGAACCAATAGACCTTGTGTACCATAAATTGCTTTGAGATTACTGCCCTCCACAAGGTTCTCTTTGATGACATATTGCTACCTAAGAAAGTGGTTTTATAGGATGTCATCATTACTCAAAATTCTGTATATCTTGGCAAGAAATAACAAGTTAATTACTGGCCTATAAAATGACACTTTTGATTTCTTCTTTTACTTATTTGAACAATTTTTCTTTATTAAAATATTTTTTATTTATTTTAGAAAGGAAAGGAGAGAGAGAGATAGAAACATCAATGATGAGAGAGAATCATTGATTGGCTACTTCCTGCATGCCTCACACTGGGGTTAGAGCCTGCAACCACAGGGAATTGAACCATGACCTCCTGCTTCATAGGTTGATGCTCTACCACTGAGCCATGCCAGCCAAGCTTTTACTGGGTTTAAATACATTATTAGTTTGAATTTTAAATATTGTTGCCTCTGGAAAGATGCCAGATGATTCAAAAGTTAAGATTATTGGGGAAGGGAGCATGGGAGATATCTGTAATACTGTAAATATATATATATAGATGATGGGCCTTTAAGTCATTTTCATTGCCAAATTATTTCTTTCTGCAATGTAAAAGTTACCACGAAAGTGGCTACAAATCAGACTTTACAGATTGCATTTGGAAGTGTATGATTAAACCAAATATAGTAAAACCTCAAGTGGCTGTCTCAGAGGATATATTTAAGAGTTTGAGACAGTATTAAAGGATTGGTGGCCTTTGTGCAGAAGGAGGATTGCCTTCTCATCTACACCTATAGCAACCTTCCCGGCTATGAATACGAAAGTGCCTGAGGCACACAGTCTAGCTAGGAGAGTCATCCTGGAAGAAAATGCAGCAGGGGTTGTGGATAGCAGCTCAGCATTCGCCCTATCCTGTGAAACAAATGTTAGATACAGACAAGGAGAAGAGTCTTCCAATACATGAACCCTGAGCAGTTAAGAGTTAAAAGGGCAGAAGAGACTTTACAATTGAAATAAAATTGATCGTTTTTGTGCAAGGACATAAAAGATTAGCTGCAAATTAAGCAGAACAAGAAATACTATCCAAATGAAATGCTGTAAAGAAAACCAGGTTCTCACACTAAAAAGAACAAGAACAGACAATCCTGTAGGGAAGAAATGCAAAAGGATAATAAAACATGGAGAAATCCAACCTTTCTAATATTTTTATCAAATTTTCAACAATTAAAAGAATGAAAATGATCCATTTTTTTTCTAGAAGGTAAAATTCTGTGGGAATTTATCTTCTAGTGAGGGTTTAACCACACATCATCTTTATGAAAAGTAATTTTTAAGAGCTTTACATGTGTTTATATATTTGAATGATTAATTTGGCATGAATTTACCTGAAAGAAAAAATTACATAATAGGATATGTGTTGTTATTTATTTACAATAGTGAAAAAAAGAAGTAACACTTGGAAATAGCTTAAAGAAGCAATAAAAATTATTTCATCTAATTATATGGCAAAAAAAAAAACCCACACATTATATAGCCATTAAATTATATTCTCTTTAATATGATATGCTTCTTCTAGTCTGCTCCTGATGCTATCTATTGAGTTCTTCATAGTAGCGATGTCATTTTTCATTTCTTTTTGATTCATCTTCATTTCCTCTTGGTTCTTCTTCATTTCCTCTTGGGTCTTACTCATATTGTCAAATTTGTCTTCCATTCTTTTTAGCCATCTTATGATTGTTACTCTGAATTCTTGCTCTGGTAGGTTGCTTGCCTCTAACTCGTTTACTTCCTTTTCTGGTGATGCTGCTTTTCTTTCATTTGTGGGCTGTCTCTTTGTCTCCCCATGGTCTCTCTTTCAGGATGTCTGGTTGTGTAGATCTCTCTCCTTTCTGTGGAATCCACGTGTCCGCACCGGTCGGGGCCCCCACAGTTGTGGTTTTTTCAGGTCTCAGATAAGATCCCCAGTTGCAACACTGATGTGGTTGTGAGAGACAGCACGTACAAGTGTTTACCTTGCCGCCATCTTCCAGGAAGTTCTTTAACATGATATGAAAATGTACTCAATGTGTTATTTTTATAAGAATGGTACTTTACAAAAATATTCTGAAGGCCATCCTGGGCAGACTGGGAAGATTTGGTTTAAAAGAAGAAAAAAAAAAGCCTCTTCTGGAATTCCTTCTGCGCAATAAATCATCCAAGATTGCCTTTCCAGAGACTGTTCCAATTGCCAAAGGAGACCAGAAAGTTATGCTGCTGGGCTCAGATTTAGAGAAGAATAACATGCACTACTAAAAAGATTATTCAATAAAGGAGACCTTCCAATAAAGCATATCTAGAATTGTTTCTTTGTGTAGGTAAGGCAAACAGAATAGATTAGGGCACTCAAACTTTCATTTATGAAAACGACTTTATTAATAAAGGCAACAACAAAATAATGCAATTCCAAATGATAGTAATGGTGACAGCTTCTATGAATTCAGGAATACTTTAAAGGATTGACATTTTGTCAATGGCATTAACAGCTATCCACATTTGAAAGATAAAGCTTTGCATTTGCATGAGACGTTCTTTTTATTCAGCTTGTAATCAAAGCTTGGAATTCTACATGAGTTGACAGATTTGTTTCAATAATTCCATGACATCCTAGAGTGAATGGGAAACACTTGCACAGCTATTTGTGACAAGATAAACTAGAAAAATTCTCTTTCCTCCTTTCTATTAGAAGGAGCACACCAGATTAAAAAAAA